GCGTGCGGGACGCGGGAGCCCGGCGCCTCTCCCGGGCCAGCTCGGAGGGGCGGCGGAAAGCGGGGGCTGGTTGCGATGGCAAGGCAGCAGCGATCCAGGCCGAGTTACCTTCCCCCTGTCAAGGCAGCAGGGAAGGGGGAGCCCCTTGCTCCTGGCTCCCTTCTCCCACCGCAGCACCCGGCTTTGGCTCCCACGGGAAAACTTTTCATTAATCGAGCGCTCCCCCGCCCCCCTTCCTCGCCCTCTGGGTCCGGCGCTGCGCTGGCCCATTAGTGGGGAGGCACCTGCCTGTGCAGGCTGCCCCGAGAGGCAGGCCGCTGGAAAGGGCTTGTTCGGCTTCCTAGGGGCCCCTGCAGCGCAAGGCCACGTCCAGGACAGCGCCGCTGCCGCCCACGTTTGCAGAGCCGGCCTCCCCGCCGCCGCGGCCCGGGGACAAGCGCGGCGCTTGTTCGCTCGGGGGAACAATGCGCCTTCTGTCCCGGCAGGGCCTGGGGCGGGGGGGCCGTGTGCGCGGCTGACAATGGCCGGGGCCAGGGGAGGCTTCAGGGCACCTGTTCCGGGGGGTTTCCCAAAGCCACGCTCACAAAACGATAAGGAACGGGTTTTATTTATTTGTTTCAACCACAACATTCAGTTATAACAATATTGGTTGTTCTAAAAATAGGACCAATCCCTGGCAGATGGGGGGTGGGAGGGAGAAAGAGAGAGAGAGAGACAGAGAGAGAGAGACAGAGAGAGAGACAGAGATCCCCTTGGGATGACAGTCAACAATGTTCAGACAACAGGTGAGCACAGGCAGAAAGGCAGAGGGGGGGGAGAGAGAAAGAGAATGGAGGTGGCCACTCAGCACTTGATTTCGGTCTATTAAAATCCACATACTCCATGGACTTTACAAGAAACTGTACATTTTATCAAATAAATTAAAATTCTTCTAAGATTGATTGTCCTTCACTTAAAGCGCCCCGCACACCGACCCTCCTTGATTTATGTGTATAGGCATGACTCGTGTTTGTGCCCCCGCCCTGCTCTTCTCACTTTCCTTCCCCCCTTCTTTTTTTAAATTCACTTCGTTTGTTCACTACATAAAAGGAGCCCAGTTTTACAATGATTACAAAAACAAAAAAAAACCCCAAACCAACCCCAGTAACCCTTCCTCCCCCTGCAACCAAAAGCAGCGCTCAGGAATATCCGTACAATATTGCACAGTTCAGACGTACAGTGGTTTTTTGTTTTTACAGAAGAAAGCAGGAAGGGTACAGAGGGTCTTTTCCAATAACGAGATACCTTTGCAAAGAAAAATCAAGCAAAGAAAATAATAATCCACGGTCTTAAAAAAAAACAAAAAAAGGATCTAGAGAAAGGATAATAAATAAAGGAGCACGTGAAGGGTGTACACATTTCACCGGTTACTTTTTGGCTGCATGTCTTGCTCAGTCCCATCGCAGGACCCGAAAAGGTACAAAACCTGGAGGCGGGGGAGGGGGGAAGCGACGAGGCAGAAATTTGTACAAAGAGTGAACAGCCGAGGTCGGCGGAGTCTTTTGCGTTGTCCTACCATCGCCAGCACGAGCCGTGGGGAGAGGGGAGGAAAGGCAGAAAAGTCCCATTTGGCAGCAGGGACCCGCCATCGTTTATTCTTTCCCCCCCCCCTTTTTTTTTTCCTTTTTTACAAAAATAAAACTAACGCCCCCAAAGCTTTTCTTCCCGGCTCCAGGATCCCCTCCGACTTCTTTCCACTCCCATCTCCATCGCTTTTCCTTCCCTCTCTTTTCTCTTCTGTCTTTTGCCGCCCTAAGACCAACCCGCACCATCACCACCACCACCAGCATCATCATCACGGAGACGAATTAATTAATGTCAGAATAAAGAGAGCATCGACTACCTGGCGGGACGAGTTGCACGACTCACAAAACCAAATCAAATCGCCGGTCACTGCCAGCCGCTCCGCGTCCTCGGGGCTGCTCTGCTGCCCTGCAGGGCCGGGGTGGGGAGGGGGAGGCCGCCCGCCGCGTGGCTGCGGGGCGGGGGGCGTCCTCAGACCGGCCGCAGGAGCGGCACGGATGTGACCACGGGGTGGGAGTAGTAGACGGGGTGCGGGAAGGTGAGCAGGGGCTGGCTCACGGGCGCGCTGCCCGCCGCGCTGCCGGCCTCGGCGCCGGAGTTCTCGTGGTACAGGATGGGCACGCGGACGATGCGCTGCGCCGCGGCGTGGCTCAGGTTGGCCGCCTCCAGCTCGGCCGCCAGCTGCCGCTTCCACTTGTTGCGCCGGTTCTGGAACCAGATCTTGACCTGGGTCTCTGTGAGGTGCAGCGAGGCGGCCAGGCCGGCGCGCTCCGAGCTGCTCAGGTAGCGCTTCATGTCAAAGGTGGACTCGAGCTGGAAGACCTGGCTGCGGGAGAAGACGGTGCGCGTCTTCTTCTTGCGGCACGGCTTCTTCTCGGGGCTGCCCTCGCGCTTCTTCCACTCCTCGCCGCCCTCCTCCTTCTTGGCCTCCTCCGCGTCGCTCTCCTCCAGCACGATCTCGTCGGGGCTCTTCGAGTCCAGCTCCTTGTGCTCCGCGGCCGCCTTCAGCAGCGGCTCGGGCGAGTCGCGGTCCGTGCCCGAGGCGGGGGACGAGTCCCGCAGGAGCGACTTCTCTGCGGCTGCGGGGGCAGGAGCGGGGCAACAAAAGGAAGGGGGGGGGAGAGAAAAAGCACCTTGATCACTCGAGCGGCTCCGCTGGGCCCGGAGCGCGGGCTGCCCGGCCTCGCACCGGGCCCTGCTTGGGGGGGGGGGGGGACACACCGCGCGGGGCACATCGCCGGTGCGCACACACACGCACGCACACGCACACGCGCTCACACGCACACACCGGCGGTACCTTCGGGCCTGGGCAGGTGTCCGCCGGCCGGCGCCAGGGCGTAGGGGTACCACCAGGTCTGCGAGCGCTCCAGGCAGTGCGCCGTGAGGGCGAAGCGCGGCGCGGGGATGTCGAAGCGCGGGAAGGCCAGCTCGCCCACCTGCGACAGCGCGAAGCCGGCGCCGTCCAGGCTGCCCTTGGCGGCGGGCGCGAAGAGGGCGCGGGGCTGCTTGGGGGGCGCCTTGGGCGGGTGGTCGCCGTTGAGCAGGTTCTTGATGTAGAAGGACTCCTTGGGCGGCGGCGGCGGCGGCGGCGGGGGCTGCGCGGGCGGC